ATTTCATCTCAAATAGCTTTTACACATGTGTCTGAAAAAAAGTATAAATTTGAATGTACTTCTCAGAAGATATAACAGCTTTTATAGTTTTACCTGAGTGTGAATATGTAAACGTTCTTTTAAATCTAAATTTATTCTCAGAACAACTGACGCATTAACAAGCCTTATTTCGGTAGACCTTCTCCATGAAGGAAAACGATAGGACGTATTTTCATCTCACTTATTTTCAAAGAATACTTATGCCCTCTCCACTGATACCAATTAACTCCAACACCACCTTCTTCATGTGGTCCTTTCAGATACATACCATTTAAATTAGAGTGATGGCAAGCGTTATACCACCACCCACCTTTGTAGGCCTCCGCACAGTTTTTCTCCCATTTATCGTTATCTCTATCTTTGGTGGTGAATGGCATATTGTTGTGTTGAGAAAGTGAATCTCCTAAAACAAAACAGAACTTTAGGAGACTCAGAAGTAATGAAACAAAACCAAAACAAAGAGTAAACTACAGATCTTTGCCTACAAATGCACATGATTTCTAGAATTAAGGTCATGTAAATTACACCCGCAAGTCTTTTAACTTTGAGGCTAAAGATTATTTTGTGAACTTTTTTCTCATACATTGAAAAACAAAACTTTGAATAAGACTACAACTTTCTGACATGTTTGATTCATTTTTATGAAAGCCTTTCTTAAATCACCCAATAAAGCAATGAAGATAATGATATTTTTTGTTCCAAATGCAGTAGCTTAGAGACTTAGTAATTTATTTTTAAGTTTTGCCTAAAGTTAGGTGATTTGTCTTGAAACAAGCTTTTACTGCATAATAGCACAATAATTCACTAATACACATTTCTAAAATAGAGTTAAGGGTTATATGGGTCTTATGTTCATACTGGTCATAAATATATACTAGCCACAAGTTTACACTGGTCATAATTTTATAATAGTAATAAATTTATACTGGTCATAAATTTATGCTGGCCATACATTTATGATAATCATAAGTTTATACTAGTCATAAGTTAATACTGGTCATAAGTTTATACTAGTCATAAATTTATGTTGATTATAAGTTTATACTATCCACACGTTTACACTAGCAAAATAAGGCTAACACTTTTACCTGCGTCACCCTTGTACGTCTTAAAAGACATTTTGTAGAGTTCTCTCTCACTTCGAACCAAAAATTCATCAGCTTCTGCATATCTTCGACCACCTTCAAAGTCTTCCAAGTCTACACGGAGTACCACGTTGTCTTGATTGGTTAAGACGAATATAATGTCATTTCCTAAGGATTGGAATATACATTAATATTATTTTTTGAGCCTAAAATGTTTCAAGCATTGGTGACATATGTGAAAATAGCTTACGGCACGTAGAGAATGAAAATAAATTTCAGAACTATTAATTAAACACTTATTTACCCAACCAAAATTCTCTGGTTAAATTCCCAAAGCCATTTTTATAGCTCTCCCATGTTTGGTAAAAATTCTGTGTAGGTTGACCAAAGTCTCCTCTTCTTTGAATTAGCTGAAAGAGAAAAGACATAATAGGCTTTAAAAGAATGGCTATGTTTATGTAATTGTAATGTATATATATCTTGGTTTCTTAAGAAGATATCATCAGCAACAATAATAAATTATTATAAAAATATTAATTACTAAAAGATAGTTCTTATAAATAAAATGACTGATACCTACATACGTGCATCATTATATTTTTATTAAAATGACTTTACACTGAACCTATTGAGGTAATTATAAAAATAGTTTCTACTTGTGTATACGTTGTTTATAACAGACTACTAAAACACTTTTAATATAGGTAGTGAGTTCAAAGTAGCCTAAAATAATTTTAATATTTACATAAATTGAAATAGCATATCTAGAATAAAAAGTATATATACATTATAGTTGTTAAAATGTGGTTAAACCTTTCAAAATAAATTTGCTTATTTGGTAAATGTTTTAAGAAGAGCCTTTGATATTTAGCCGTTTAATTACAAAATAATAATGTAAGATAATTAAAATTAACTAAATGGATTTAATAGTAGGCATTCCATTGTACCTACATCTATAGATTATATTTCTTCAAAGAACTAGCCATATGTTTTGATTTTATGTTGGCTGAAAGATATGGCGATGTTTGTTTCCAATATAGTAGCTACTATCACACTTACAGTCCATCCTCCACCAGCAGTTTCCATGTCACAAAAAACCGAGATTGGGTGGTTCAGGAACAGTGGCCATATCTTGTAGATACCACTGGTTCTGTTTCCTTGTTGATAAACACTAGCACAGTTTATCGGCAGATCATTTTTTTCTGCCTTGTTTTGTGTCACATTGGTGTATGTTTCGATGTCATATGCTTTGTCTTTGGAACAAATAGAACCTGGAATAAAAAATTAAACAAAATAGATAATAATAACACAAGTTTAAGTTACATAGAAAGAACGTATTAAAAACCATTCCATTATTTACAAAGTGAAAAGTACACCATTATAACTATGCTAATTTCATAGTATTGTTTACACTGCAGTGTCTTACTTTCCAATGTAGCAGTTCTCTCCTTAGCCAAGTTTGTTAGCTCTGATAGAGAATCTAGAATTCCACCCAGTGAACAAGCAGTACTAGAAGCAGCGTGATGATGAACATTTCCCTCAGCCAACAAAGAAACGAATAAAAAACTTAACATCTGAAATATATTCTTCATGATAGAATAGACAGCTGTATGCACTAAACAATGTTTTATTTCGCTAAAGCCTGATTTCAACTGTTTTATAACCTAATCTTACACGGGAAACAGGATATCCGAGAAAGTTTTCTCTGATGTTACTACATGTTACGCATGCGTTAGCGGCAGTCTGTGATGAGTTTTGCACCAAGTTTGAGAATTGTATACAGATTCCTAAATACTCTGCTCACCAATAAAATATGATGACTGGTAACACTGGCGATTTTAATGATGCTAGTTAGAACCTCGCCGAAGATACAACAACAGAATACTTTATGTCTATGCATGTTGTCCATCAGGCATAAAAGGTTTCGGATTCTGAAAGGTCATGGAATGCATATATCATATATTACTTTATGAAATTGTATATTCTTTGTATATGTAAACAACAAAAACATATTATAACTGGAGATGATATTATCTTATGTACAGTTTATGGTGTTACACTTCGCATAAACTATTAGCTCCACTTTGGTTACCCTTCACAATGTAAAATAGGAGGAAATTATTGTTGTTTTAATACGAGTTGTTCTTCAACAGTAAATTTACTGACGATATTCAGATGAATTGTTGAAACCAAGGAACAAAAATTTGAAAAGAAGTGTAATTTTATAATTTCTAATTTTAAAAAAATAACATAGTGCTTTACGAATACTTTAATAATACACAAGTTTGTGAAAGAAACAATTAACAACTGAAATAGAATACTATTACCAACTAGCTGGAGTACCCGTCCCCTGGACGGAAGTTATGTAAATTGATGATTAATTAAAGGTTATTTTAGGACATGAAAAAGTTACTTCCCTTATATGTAATTGTATAAAATGGCCATAAAAGTGCAAAACACAAAATGTGAAACCGCAAGTTTGCATGTATCTTTGCATAGACCCAAGAAACCTTCATGTCAAATTTGGCGAATATCGATCAACAGGGGGCGAAGTAGTTACATGGACATACAACAGACATAACTCTCAAAACTGTTGCACACTATTGCTACACAACATGGGATTATTGTTCAAGAAATCGGCACACTATTGCTACACAACATGTGATTATTGTTCAAGAAATCGGCACACTGTTGCTACACAACTTGGGATTATTGTTCAGAATAATTCAGTTATCTGCATTTTTATTCCTACATTTATATTTTTGATGAACTTGTACTGGCAACTGATACATACATTTTAAAATATTTGTTTGATATATAATCTAGAATTAATACAAAGGTTTATTGTTTTCATGTTCAATTTTGCACAAAGCTACTCGAGAGATATTTCCGCTAGTCCTCCCTAATTTAGAAGTGATAGACTAGAGAAAGTTAGCTAGTCAGCACCACCAACCGCCAACTTTTGGGCTACTGTAATTAAATAATGAAATTGACCGTAACATTATAACGACTCAATGTGTGAAGGGAAGAGCACATATGGTGATAGGATTCGAACTCACGGCCCATAGATTGCGAGTCGAGCATCCTGATCACCAGACCATGCCAGGCCTAATACAGAGATAAAAAAAAGAGTAATTCTTAATCAGTTTTATCTTATATTAATCTATTTAATGCCTCAGAACACCCAATAAATATTGTCTCTCTATCTAGAAAATTTAATGTTGGAAAAATATGTATTTGCATTTCAAAATATATTGTTCTAAATTCACGTATTCCCGTGTATTGGTGTAAAATATCCACGAGTGTCTATTATGAAACGATAATAGTTCCAATTGCACGATTAACAAAAAAAAAAGAATTGTTACTGTTTTTATAGCATACTTGAAATATAGCTGTATTTAATCTAGTATGCATAATTCAAAAAAGTTTTGTTGCCTGAGCCTCCCTCTTGTGAGTATATTTTATAATTATTTCATGTTTTTCAAATACTTTATATTCCACCAAATGATATGGATATATTAATTAATTTCTCTGACTTTTATCACTATACCATTAGATTGTATATATATATATATTATATTCATTGTAGAGATAGAAAACATTTCTTATAGTCTATTTAATTTTTGTGGTTGTAAAATATTGTATAAATAAAATCAGCATTTATGACCTTCATTCATGCAAGCTGAAAACACTTTCAGTTTAACAAAAATAAACTAAACTAAGTAAAAAGTTTAAACTAGTTCAAATGGCTACCCATTAACATTGGAATATATACCAATCAAGACCATAATATAGTTTACAAGTCAAAGTAGTGAAATAATTATAAATGTGTTATTTATTTGTTTGTTTTTTCTATATGGGGCGTATGAGGAGCTCAGAATCGTATCTAAATACATATAATAGTACTGTCTGTTGTCTGTCCATGTAACTACTTCGCCCCCTGTTGATCGATATTCTGTTGTTGTATCTTCGGCGAGGTTCTAGCTAGCATCATTAAAATCGCCAGTGTTACCAGTGATCATATTTTATTGGTGAGCAGAGTATTCAGGAATCTGTATACAATTCTCAAACTTGGTGCAAAACTCATCACAGACTGCTGCTAACGCATGCGTAGCATGTAGTAACATCAGAGAAAACTTTCTCGGATATCCTGTTTCCCGTGTAAGATCAGGATATAAAACAGCTGAAATCAGGCTTTAGCGAAATAAACCATAGTTTAGTGCATACAGCTGTCTATTCTAACATGAAGAATATATTTCAGATGTTAAGTTTTTTATTCGTTTCTTTGTTGGCTGAGGGAAATGTTCATCATCACGCTGCTTCTAGTACTGCTTGTTCACTGGATGGAATTCTAGATTCTCTATCAGAGCTAACAAACTTGGCTAAGGGGAGAATTGCTACCTTGGAAAGTAAGACATTGTAGTGTAAACAATACTATGAAATTAGCATAGTTATAATGGTGTACTTTTCACTTTGTAAACAGATGTCTGGCATGGCCAGGTGGTTAGGGCGCTCGACTCGCAAACTGAGGGTCGCGGGTTCGAATTCCTGTCACACCAAACATGCTCGCATTATAATGTGACGGTCAATCCCACTATTC